AGAACAAACCCTAACACAAACAACTGCTGTTTATAACCAGTCACACTGTGTTTTTTGCTGTGGGTGCTATCAGAGACAACACCTAGAAAAACAGTCTGAAAAGGTGTAAGAAACTGTACAGATGAGATATTTCGCTTTAAGTCCCTTTTCCCTTTCTCACTTCTGTTTTCTTCAAGAAGTATCACCTAGAGATTAGTCATTGCGAAGAAATCCCTACAAAAATTACATATACGGCCAAATTTGGCACTTCATGGCTCTGGTGTAATAAATTGTCCTGCTTTTTTACAGTGAAAGTCTTCTGTTTTCTTCAAGAAGTATCACCTGCTTTTTTTTATTGTCCTGCTTTTTTACAGTGAAAGCTTTGAGGTGAGTGTCACACAGGCAAGTCATTAAAGGGAGTCGGACTTGGAGCCAAATGGCGACGGCACCTGGCAGCAACACGCGCGGCCTGTACAAAGTTCAGCTGGCCCCTGTAACGCAGCTTGAACAGGAGCGAGGGGAAGCTGAAGTGACCACGGTTTGTGCTAGAGAAGCTACAATCCTGCTCCCACTTTGAGGCAGAAAGCAGGTTTTTCCAGCGCACCTCAGGGCTGGAAAAAAAGCCATTCCTCCTGGCCCCACTATCCCTCAAATCTCCCCACAGAGCTGCTCTTTAACCAGGCTACTACATCCACATGATCCAGGCCAGCACATTTCCTGCTAGGGGCAGCGTGTGAATTAGTCTGGATCTTCCTGGCAGGTCGGGCTCTGGGAAATGCTGGAAGAGTTTTTGCCTCCCATGAGCAGAAACTGAGCGTAACGCCCAAGCCCCGCCTGGGAATCTGTGCATGGATCAGCTTTGGCCATCGCTCATGAAAGCGTTGCTGATGATACAGCCCCAGGGCATGCTTCTCCTGCAGGCTCGCTGCGTGCAAAGTCTGCGCGGGCTTTTTTTCCCCAGTGCTGCACTTTGTGCTCTTCGCAGGCTGCAGGAAGGCTGCCCACCTATGGAGAAAATTTCCAAACAGATGCAACAGTAGACATGTGAACATGAAGCATGCAGCAATGTGGAAACTGCATTACAGCCCCTCTCTAATACACTTTGGAGCTCCATTCCCACATATTAATTATTTGTATTTCCATAGCACCCAGGAGCCTTGTTTCACTGACTGCTGGACTGCTCACGTGCTCCACGTGTTCTGCTTCTTAACGACCTTCCTACTCAAGAAACAACTCCGTTGCTCCCCAGCCACCTAGTGTCCTGAGAGAATGAACTGTGTGTTTAAAAATTAAATGAAAGCATATCTCCATCCATTATTTTGCAAACCCACCTAGACTATTCTAATATGTTTGCCAAGCTTGATTTCCCATTGCAGAAATGTGTTAGTTTCCCATTTATATCATTTAGGTGTTTCTATCAGTGTATTAATTAGCATTTTCACCATCCCTATTTTGTACCAGATCAATATGATTCAATCCCCAATCACCACGTTTACGCAGCACAGTAAAGGTAGGTAAAATTTAAGTACAAATCACCTCATCCTTTGGCGTGCTGTCACATATTACTGAAATGTGAATGGGGCAAATAGTGAACAGCCATACTGCAAAACCGTATGCGTCAGAAGTGCTGAAAAGGATATCCACAGGAAACTGCAGAGGAGGTGACTCTGGTATGCGCTCACGTGGGTTGAAATGTGAAAAGCAACTTGTATATTGAATGGCATTAAGAGTTCCAACTATAGGGACTTTACAGGGAAAATCCTAGCTAGGAAAATAGGTATTTTTGTGAGAATCTCCTTTGTTTCTTGGAAGAATCCATGTTGTTCTGTGTCAAAGCGTTGCAGAGCTGGAGAAAAAGGGTTAATAGAGCAATGGCTTGTCATGATAAACTGTAGAGAAAGTCATGTCAGTTCACCAAAGTCACAACTTCATGGTGGAAAGGCTGAAATTTTGCCTTTTCATTAATCGAAATATTCTTTGAATTTGATATAAACTATGCAAGCCCAGTAAGAAAGCACCTAGTTGATACTTTAAAATTCCAAATTTCGGATATGCTGCCTCCCAATTCTGTTTGATTTCCCTAGCCCAGAGGATGACTTTGGGCTATCGTTGCAGCTCTCAGAAAGGTCTCAGAAAATTTGTCAATTGTATTCCCTGCAAAATCCAGAGAATCCAGAGAACCTGGTGGAAGAATTCATCAAACAGCAGCTTGTTCAGCGCAAGTGGGAGTAAAACCCCAGTTCTTGCACGGGAGGCCTGACTGGGGGCGCTGCAGGACTGAACATGCCCAGGAGGAGCTCCGAGAAGCCAGTTTTCTCCTCTTTATTTAGTCGAAGGTCCACACAGCCGGTGGAGAAGAAAAAATAACACGCACAGGCTTTGGCACTACATGAAATGTATTCAAAACCCAGCTCTTTGAATGTTTAAGCAGCAGAAAACGGTCAGCGGAGGAGTTGTAAGTGGCACCAGTGCCCAAGAAGGGCGGCAGGGACTTGTGGTGACACACAGTGCTCTGGGTACAAAGGTCTGTGTCGATGTTTGCGCAAACCTGTCCTTTGAGACTTGTATTTCAAGTTCACTCAGCTTGCACAGCAAGGGTGAATAAGGGACGTAACAAGAGACAGATTGAGCTGAGCTACCAAAAGGACAAAAAGATGTCAAAAGCGATTTTTTCTTTTTTTTTTTTTTCATGTTCCATTTAAAGCCTTTCTGGGCTGAAATCATTTTAATTATACGAATACTTTAGTTATCAGCACTTAATTGGAATTATGGGTTTTGCACTAAGGAATCTCCGTCACCAAGTTCCTAATGCAGTTAACTCCCGATTCCCACAGTGACTTCCCTCTTCAAAATGCTATCTGAGCATAACTGAGGTAATTACCTCCCCCAGGCACCTGGGATGCAGGGCAGGGTCTTTACTCTCATGTAATCAAGTGGGTAGAGTTTAAGGACACACAGAGTCTTGCCAGGGACAAGGCTCAGGCTTGGGATTGTGCTGGGCTCCTCATCCAGGCAGTGTATGAGATGCCCAGGTGTTTGGAGTGACCTCAGTTCTGCCTCCCATCTTTCCAGAAGAGTTGTCGAAAGCAGGAATACTATATATTTGCACTGGGCAGCAGAGGTATGTTTGGCACAAACTTCCCTCTAATTTGTTAGCCCATATAAAATCTTAATCAGAAGGCATGTTAACGTGCTCCTTGCTTGGTGGATGCCGTATTTTTACACTACAAAATGTCTGGGATTTTTCGCTATTTCTGCACATTTTGCTGAGAAGTTGATTAGAGATTAGGCCACTATTAACTCACGTGACACACTAATTATTTCATTTGTTGAAAGCAGACCTTTAAACAGGCAAATTGGCAAACAACCAACGCAAGCAGAAATCCCATACTTCATTCCTCATGTCTGAGTGCAGTTCACACTGTCAAAACTAGCAATCCCACCTGGCCCTCTGTCCTTTCTTCTCTGGTTTGACACAGATATTCTGAATATGTTACTGCCACCAAATGTTCTTCAGCTTCTCTGTGGTGGAAATTCACAGAAATTGTTCCCTGCTAGCAAGATTTTAAGAAAGTAAATGAGTGAAAAGGGAGTATGCGCGGAAAAAAACAATTAATCCATAGCTTCCTGCATAAGACTCCTGTGAAAGAACTCATGTAAACCAATACTTTTGTATTACTATCACGCTGCACAAAGGAATAGAGTAGAAAACAGCCTCACGGGTGAGGCCACAGCCTGTCTGAGGTTCCCGATGGGCACATACCATACAAAGTCCTGTGCATTAGTCCTTCAAATTCACATTTTTCTTTTAGTCTTCTATAGCTGTTGCCTATGCTGTCTGATAGATTGTGAGATGTAGCAAAGATGTTTGATAACCTCATGAGTCACTACTATCTTTCTATGTTTACAAACTCTTTTTTTTTCCCCTCCATAATCAAACAAAATTTGCCCCGAGAGTACAGAAAGATTTCATTTGGACCCGTCCAACATTCAAGATGCTACAGGTTGTGCCACCACAAACTGGTTTGCTCACAGG